AGCTCAGGGCTATTCAACTGGCGGTCCGTGGGCCAAATCTGGCCCGCCGCGGGTGACTTCCATCTGGCCCACCAATGAGCCTCCTCAAAAAAAAACAAACAATTTTTTTAACTTCATTTAATTTAAAAAATAGATAAAAATCTATGTTTCAATGCAACAAAAGCAAATTTAAAATGTAAAGGATAATACTACTTATCTGTTACATGCTCCTACCAGGGAAATGAGTAACCGTGGCCACATCTTAAATGAGACGCATCATGCTTTTAAATCATTCAGTTGGGGTCTATATAAAGTGGAACTGSAAYGCTTTGGTCTGATTTCCTCCTTATTGTAACTCCACAATCCCCTCKTTCACCTTTTTCTGAGGTGAGTCTCAGATTTGAGTCTCTTTAAAACCAAGAGAGACACTAAATTCAACTTTTCTGCACACAACAAAATGGATGTAACGGCTAAAAAGGTGGATTTTGCATTGTAAAACAACTCAGCCTTTTTAAATAATTCATGCATGTTATTTTAGAAACATGTAACCCAATGTCATTTTCCCATTATATATTTATTCCTGCTAAAAGATTATATTTATAACAGAAAAACCCAGCGCTACGGCTGAAATGTTAGCACTATTTACTCTCAGCAGAAATTATAGAATTTAATGTAAACACCCATGCAATAAAAATTGTAAATGTTTATTATTAAAATTAATGTTTCTTTTTGCCATTGTGAAGCAGTGAGAGAAGCTGCTGTAAGTAGAGCCTCAAATGGATTGATCCATTCACCGTAAAGTGAATCAAAATGTCAAACTCCTGCTGGACTGTTAAACTGYCGGAGATATAAAAGCATAAAAAGGAAATGTGAGGTATTGGATAAAGCTGCACAGATCTATAGCTTTTTATGAACACTTTAGATTTCCTGAACGCAACAATTAAAAATAAAAAGGTTGCTTCCCAGTAATAGCATTTGTCTGGTGCTTAAAAAAGTTTTTTTTATTTCCTTTTTTCTGCACCACATTTGTTTTTAAATTAGGGCTGAAGGAGGAGACGTTGGATTACTGTTGAGTCGTCTTTGTGCCTCATTTGCTGTGTGAAAGGCTCATGCAGGCGCTTCGTGTCCTCCAGAGGATACAAAATAAAACCCAAAGAGATTCTGGATTTACTGAGGTTGTAGATTCTTTTCATGCTTGGCTCTTTTTTTTTTTTTCAGCTGAACTGTCACAGCTTCAGTCCCTCTTAATCCTTGTTTTCAAGGATCCTCTTTTTACACCTCAGGGAATGTGATGATTTAAAATGAACTGTGTCCTTGCACACATAATAATTAGGTAAAATCACATTCTTCATCCTGCATCCTCGTTATCTTTAAATTTCTTTTATTATTTTCTTACAAAACGGTTCATCTTTCCAAGTGTTTAGGTGAGATGAGCTCAGCTTTTATAATTCAATTAGCTGTCACTGAGATTCTAAATAATTCATATCATTCTGAAGGTGTCGCTCTCACCCTCCTCCTCCTAAATCATACCTTTTTTTTTCCTTCCTTCTCTCCCGTCTGCTGATGCCCTGCTTCAGATCCCTTAAAAGATTAATTGTCCCACCATGTTCCTGCTGCAGCACGGACGGTGGGGGCCTTAATGGAATCTGCGTCTTGGACTCGCCGGGCCATGTCTTYTCTGTCGCCCGTGTTTTAAGTCGGCCTGTGGAATATTTATGAAGTTATTTTGAAAGGGTCAGGCGGAGTGAGTAATGGCCCCGCTTGGTGATTCACAGTGTGCCGCCTCATTGCTGAGATGGAGAGCCGGGTTTGTGCGGCACAGCAGGTCCAGGCACGGGGACACACACTCTCTCACACACACACACACACACACACACATATTTGCACATGGTTGCATACATATGCATGAAGCCAAAAAAAGGAGAGCCAAACCTTTTTGAGAGCTCACATGAACACACACACAGTCAGGGCTGAGCAAGCAGACTGAGTGACACGATGATGTCCCTTTTTTATGTTTTTAAATGTCTTTCATCAGAAAACCACTGGACAGAGACATCAGTGACATGTCCGCCATTTTTTTAAAATATGATTTGAATTTACTCTTAAGGACAGTGGAAATGTTTTAGCTTAGGATTGGTGAAACTCACCAAACTCAGAATGTCTCTGAAGTATCTGTTAAATTAATTATGAATTATCTGGTGAGCGCGACGTGCTCTTGCTCTCTGTAAATAAACCAAAGCCACTTCCTTTATTTCATCCGCCATTAAACAGAGACCGGCAGAGGAGGAAAACAACCAAGAGCCGTTTTAAYGAGCGTCTGACCTCAAAGTGCACAAGTGTCCAACTTGAGGCGTTGGACACGTTTTTGATGCTAAAATCAYGTTTGGTGTGAAYGCAGCATAAGGGTCTTTGATGGCTAGCTGAAGAGAACTCCAGGTGGTCCAAGATGGTGTTTTGATGCTTTTGGTTAAAAAAAAGTAATCTGGTAAGGGTCATGGTTTAGGTTTGGGATTAAAAATAATTTTGACCAGTACAATATTCTAAATTATTATTTGATCTGGAAAAATCCCATTGAGATTAAAAACTTATTTTTTCAAGGGAATCCTGGTCAAGATGGGCAGCAGTAAGTACAGTATAATTACACATTTAGTCATAARAATATGAAACACRTTTAAAAGCAAAACATAAGAAAATGTACAAATAATGGAATTAAGCTCAGATCTCAGTATCAGTTTAAAAGCTCTCAAACGTATTAAATCTGTTAATTCTGTCGTGTTCTGATATAAAAGTAGTTTTACTGTCAAAYCTTACCTGAGCCAGCAACACGTTGTATGGGTCGTCTACAAACGTCTCACACACACTCCTCCATA